GAGAATCGCTTGAACCCGGGAGGCGGAGGTTGCAGTGAGCCAAGATTGATTGCATCACTGCACTCCAGCCTGGGCAATAGCGTGAGACCATCTCAATTAAAAAAAAAGTTTTATATATATATATATATATATATATATATATATATAAAATTAGCCACATTTGGTGGTGCACCCCTGTAATCCCAACTACTGCAGATGCTGAGGTAAAAGAATCACTTGAAACTGGGAGGCAGAGGTTGCAGTGAGCCGAGATCATGCCATTCACTGCATTCCAGCCTGGGCAACAGAGTAAGACTCTCTCAAAAAAAAACAAACAAAACAAAAACACCCCACAGAATTATTCTGGCAAAATAAAGCCACCATTTTAGAAAAGGATCATGGAATTCTGGATCAATATACTAATAAATCAAGCTTTGTTCCTGCAAATGCAATTATTAAACATTAGTCTTATCTTTCAAATACTGATCAAGATGAAAACATACCATGTTCTGGCTTTATTTTTTTTATTTTTTATTTATTTATTTATTTTTTTTGAGATGGAGTTTCGCTCTTGTTACCCAGGCTGGAGTGCAATGGCGCGATCTCGGCTCACCGCAACCTCCGCCTCCTGGTCTCAGGCAATTCTCCTGCCTCAGCCTCCTGAGTAGCTGGGATTACAGGCACGCGCCACCACGCCCAGCTAGTTTTTTGTATTTTTAGTAGAGACGGGGTTTCACCATGTTGACCAGGATGGTCTCGATCTCTCGACCTCGTGATCCACCCGCCTCGGCCTCCCAAAGTGCTGGGATTACAGGCTTGAGCCACCGCGCCCGGCCATGTTCTGGCTTTGTAAGAGGAACCACTGAGATTTAGGGTTAAGGCCAGAACTTTAGGAATTATTCATCTTGAGATAAAATATATGGCCAAGTGCGGTGGCTCATGCCTGTAATCCCAGCACTTTGGAAGGCCAAGGCAGGTGGATCATCTGAGGTCAGGAGTTCAAGATCAGCCTGACCAATATGGTGAAACCTGATCTCTACTAAAAATACAAGTATTAGCGGGGTGTGGTGGCGGGTGCCTGTAGTCCCAGCTACTCAAGAGGTAGAGACAGGAGAATTGAACCTGGAAGGCAGAGGTTGCAGTGAGCCGAGATTGTGCCATTTTACTCCAGCCTGGGCGACAGAGCAAGACTGCATCTCAAAAGAAAAAAAAAAATACATAACATAAAACCATCTTCATATCTCTGGCTATAACCACACTGGAACATCTGGGCCTTTTTCTTACTGTTAAAATGAAAAACTATCACTCAAAACTCTATAGTCTTTTGCTTTTTGTGAAAAGTTGACTCAACTTGTTGGGATGACTTTTAGACTAACAGGAAAAATCTATATTCTTTGGTAGCTAACAAAGATATGTATGCCCACAACAATTTTTAAAACTGGCACACAGGCTGGGCGCAGTGGCTCACGCCTGTAATCCTAGCACTTTGGGAGGCCGAGGCGGGTGGATCACGAGGTCAGGAGATCGAGACCATCCTGGTCAACATGGTGAAACCCCGTCCGCTACTAAAAATACAAAAAATTAGCTGGGCATGGTGGCGCGTGCCTGTAATCCCAGCTACTCAGGAGGCTGAGGCAGGAGAATTGCCGGAACCCAGGAGGCGGAGGTTGCGGTGAGCCGAAATCGCGCCACTGCACTCCAGCCTGGGTAACAAGGGTGAAAATCCGTCTCAAAAAAAAAAAAAAAAAAAAAAACAAAACTGGCACACATATTAAGAAACCTGGACTTCTGTAAATTAAATCTCTTAACTGCTGCATCTTCATCCTTGAAAATTCTAAATCGGCCAGGCGCGGTGGCTCAAGCCTGTAATCCCAGCACTTTGGGAGGCCGAGGCGGGTGGATCGCGAGGTCGAGAGATCGAGACCATCCTGGTCAGCATGGTGAAACCCCGTCTCTACTAAAAATACAAAAAATTAGCTGGGCATGGTGGCACGTGCCTGTAATCCTAGCTACTCAGGAGGCTGAGGCAGAAGAATTGCCTGAACCTAGGAGGTGGAGGTTGCGGTGAGCCGTGATCGCGCCATTGCACTCCAGCCTGGGTAACAAGAGCGAAAACTCCGTCTCAAAAAAAAAAAAAAGAAAAAAGAAAATTCTAAATCGTTGACTCTAAAGATCACGTTTATTCATTTATTTTTTACCAGCCTCTTGAGCCACAGCAGGCCCAAAGAGACTCTCCAAAATCACTTTTAAATCCTCCCTCCTTTGAAAAAATTAATGGCATTGCCTGAGTTACAACACTAAGGATATGTCAGAAAAAAATCCTCACATATAAAATATGAATTCTTACCTAAAGCATATGCAGCTAAAACTGAGCACAGTTGTAAATTTGGCAGTATGTCCAGGTGGAAGGTTTCTAAGCCAAATAACTGAAATCGGGGCACTTACATGAAAGGCCAACAGCATTCTGATTGGGGTCTCAAGGTGGACCCTAGGCTGATATGATGATGTACAATAACTTAACTCACAACATCAAGAATTTCCTACATCAGTTTTATTTAAAACACAAACAAGTATTTCTCCTTCTGTAAGGTCAATGGTTCAAATAATGCGGAACACGAAACACTGACTAATACAAGTGCTTTAAATACGAAACAAAATTATTTTTTTTTTAAAAGCAAAAGAATAAAGAATATATACAAAAGGGACCTGGAATCTGTAAGCTGATTCCAAAAATGAACTAAGTAGAAAATCTGTGGTGAAACCTGAACATTCTACTCCTGCTTTGGAGAAGGGCTATCATACAACATTCAGTCAGCTGAAGATGGATTGGCAGAGGTGTGTCTATACATGAATTTCAAGTCTTTTTTTGCTGTGCAGAATCATCCAGATCTTCCCAAGACTGAATGGGCAGTCCTGTGGCTTTCTTCCTTTTCCATATTCCCAACAAAGCTATGTGAAGTTCAACTCTTGATGAGCCGCTTACAACAGCAGTTCCTTAGGAGCCAACATGACAGGTGGGTCAGATTTCCCCATGAGAAACAAAACTGGCCACCTAGAGCAAAATATCAAAATGGACAAGTCCTTCCTTCCTCCTCCTTCTGATTATATACAACGTATCTCCTTTCAAGACTATTATTCCCATCATGCTTATTCCTTCACAAATCTAAACCTTGAGGTGATATGAAGGAAACCAACATCAAGAAAAGAAAACTCAATTCAGAAATGAAGAAAACTGGCAGGTATACAATACACCCCCAGAGCATCTCAATATCTCTGGCACAGTACAGTTCAGTGTACTGCTACAGCCCACAGATAATTATTGGCAGCTTGAATAAGCTCGTTTTTTTCCCTCAGGTGGTCAAAGGCCACCAAATAAATACTGGGCAACAGGAGTTTGTTGGGAGAGTTAGAAATAAAAAATTAACCAAATTTTGTCCCTGTGTTAATTCAATGCCAGTAAGGAGGCAAGTACTGAAGAAGGGACAAGGGATACTAAAAAAGAATTACTCTAATCATGTCATCATCTCATATAATGAATCCAGGGAATCCCAGAAATAGAAAATTAGTTTCAGGGGACCCCTGAGGCACTTTAAAGCCTTTTAAAAAATTACAGTAATAATAAATTAGATATTGCTCTTCAGAGGCTAACAGAGCAGCAGAAGCATCAAAATCAGGTCCAAAGAGTTATGCCCACATTACAGGCTTCCCGAGCTGCTCAGCCCTCTTTAAAGCTTAGTTGAATCTCTTAAATACCTTTAAAAAGACATACAATTTCACACAGACTGAGTGGGTATTTTTGTTTAGTGGTAGCATAAAATTTGGTCCTTAATGGTAGCAGCTGTCTTCATCCATTTCAAACTCAGGTAATATTAAGTACATCAAGACAATACATAAAGAATACAACAAAGGAGAAAAAAGCCAAAACCGACAAACACCTCAAGGAGTCACTAAATTCGCCTGTACCCTTGTACGTGGATCTCCTCTCAGTCTCTGTTTTGTGGAGAGAAGGGTATGATAGAACTTTTTTCTCAAAAGATGACGAACAATGGCATCAAATGGACAAAATGGTTATAAAGTAACTTTAAAAATCTGACCCCAAGGAATCCAAGACACATACAGAAAATTCAGAGGTATACTTCTGATTTGGGGCAAATTCTAGACTAAAGAAATGATCATCTCAGGTAAATGTTACAATAGATGAAACTAAGTCCAGTTTTTTGGTGAGTTTTTTTTTTTTTTTTTTTTTTTTTTATAAAGTGTCCTCACTACCACCTTCAGCTATCAATCATTTCTGACAGCTCAAGCAGAAGGTCATCTTCATCCTTCCCAGGATCCAGGTCAATCTCAGCTTCCAATTTGCCTCCTGAAATCTCCCAGATTAGTTTCTCAAAATCATCCTCCACAGAGAGTGGGGGCTTTCCTGTTGAGGCAGAGCTGAGTCGGCGAGTTTTCATGCTCATTTGGGATGAGGAAGGGCCAGACACCTCCGGGGGTAAGGGATCTGAAGAGGACTGGGTTGGAGGCCGCAAAAGACTGCAAGAAAGAAAAAGATTATTAGGAAACTGCCCTTTTTTCAATAGTTGGCTGAATCACCTAGTCTCATGGACACAAAGAGTGAGCAAAAAACTGTTTCTAAGAACATACATAAAGAAAGAATTCAGCCGGGCGCGGTGGCTCAAGCCTGTAATCCCAGCACTTTGGGAGGCTGAGGCGGGTGGATCACAAGGTCAAGAGATCGAGACCATCCTGGTCAACATGGTGAAACCTCGTCTCTACTAAAAATACAAAAAATTAGCTGGGCATGGCGGAGCATGCCTGTAATCCCAGCTACTCAGGAGGCTGAGGCAGGAGAATTGCCTGAACCCACGAGGCAGAGGTTGTGGTGAGCCAAGATGGCGCCATTGCACTCCAGCCTGGGTAATGAGCGAAACTCCGTCTCAAAAAAAAAAAAAAGAAAGAATTCTTGCTCTTTTTCTTCAGCAAGGCAGCTGAGTTGGTTGGTGGCAGCAGTCGTACGGCAGATGCAGAAGCAGATCTTTGTGAAGACCCTCATGGGCAAGACTATCACCCTTGAGGTCAAGCCCAGTGACATCGTTGAGAATGTCAAAGCCAAAATTCAAGACAAGGAGGGTATTCCACCTGACCAGCAGCGTCTGGTATGTGTTAGCAAACAGCTGGAGGATGGCCGCACTCTCAGACTAAAACATCCAGCAACAGTCCACCTGCACCTGGTGCTGCGCCTGGGAGGTGGCATTATTGAGCCTTCCCTCCACCAGCTCGCCCAGAAATATAACTGTGGCAAGATGATCTGCCAAAAGTGCTATGATCACCTGTACCCCCATGCTGTCAACTGCTGCAAGAAGTGTGGCCACACCAACAACCTACTCCCCCAAGAAAGTCAAATAAGCTTCTGCCTTCCTCAAAGGGCAGCCTCCTGCCCAGGACCCATGGCCCTGGAGCCTCAATAAAGTGTCCCTTTTGTTAAACATATAAATAGTTATTTTACTGATTTGGGACCAAGCATTTTTTTTTTTTTTTTTTTTTTTTAGGCAGGGTCTTCCTTTGTTACCCAGGCTGGAGTGCAGTGGTACAATCATGGCTCACTGTAGCCTTGACCTCCTGGGCTCAAGTGATCGTTCTGCCTCAGCCTCCCAAGTAGCATGGTCTACAGGTGTGTCACCATGCCAGGCTAACTTTTTGGATTTCTATTACAAGATCTCACTATGTTGTCCAGGCTGGTCCTGAACTCCTGAGCTCAAGCAATTCTCTAGCCTCAGTCTCCCAAAGTGTTAGGACTACAGGCCAGCACCAAGCATTTTTATAACTCAAAGTAGGTGTTAAATCTTTTAGGGGCTGGGCATGGTAGCTAACGCCGATAATCCCAGCACTTTGGGAGGCTGAGGAAGGCAGATCACTTGAGATCAGGAGTTTGAAAACACCCTGAACAATGTGGCAAAACCCTGTCACTACTAAAAATATAAAAATTAGCCTGGCCTCATGGCAGGCACCTGTAATCCCAGCTACTTGGGAGGCTGAGGCAGGAGAATCACATGAATCCAGGAGGCGGAGGTTGCAGTGAGCCGAGATTGCGTCACTGCACTCCAGTCTGGGTGACACAGTGAGACCCTGTGTCAAACAAAAAAACAAAAAACATCTTTTAGGTAATATAGGCAAAACGTAAACAGTGGCGCCAAAGGAGAACAGCAACCCTGTATTTTCATATTTTTTTGCAATTAATTTTATAATTTTAAGTGCAGCAGATTTATTTAGATGTTGCTAAACTGTTTAAAGTTATTTGTCAGTGTTATTCTCTAGACAGCCTAAACTGTAACAGGGGCCTGGAGTTTGTTTACAAAGAATTAAAAAGTAATACCTGTCTCTAGGATTTTCTGCTTCAGGCACAGTGGCTGATTTGTCCTCAGAGACGAGCGGGACAACAGCCTACAAAAGGAAGAGTCAGGTCATTCAGTGAGAGTCAGGCTTTTTAATTTCAGCATATTCATTTTCTTTTGCTGCCTTCTTAGAATCAAGGCTATCCTTCTTTAAGCTTGAGAATCTAAGAATCAATAATCTTAGGTTGAGTGTATAAGATAAGCAAAACATCTTGCCACCTAAAACTTGGCTTTCAAAAAATCCTGTCCTGCTACTTTACAAACATCCAACTTCAAGTGTAAAATACAGTAATAACCAAACTACTAAAATGCTAGGAAACGCCAGGAAGTGATATACACAGGTATAGAGTGCCAGTAGAGAGTTAGTCTTTCCTGCTTTTCTACCACATAGAATAAAGCACCATGGAAGTGAATATACTTCTTACCACAGCTGCTTTTTTGGCTGGGATTTCCTGTAGGACACTGCTAGAGCTCAGGGGCTTCACAGCGGCAATGACAGCAGGGTGCATCTCCACTGCCTTACGTTTTGGGGCCAATTTGGGGGATGACACAACTTTAACCACAGATGGCTTCACATTCACTTTGGGTTTAGCTACAAGGGCAGAAAATACCTGATTAACAGCTAAACTCCCTTTTACATGGAGAATAATTTAGAATAAAATACCAAAACTCCTTCAGCATTTGAAATACCACAAATAATTTATTAAAAAAGAGACTGAAAATGATCCTAAGGCAATTTGTGGTCACCACAGTGGTCACCATGTAGATATAATGCCTCTTAAATTTGTTACCATTCCTTTATTCCTTGTTTTTCTTCAATACCAGAGGAAAGATGCAACACAAAGTTTTACATGAAGCTTTTTAAACAGCAATTTAAAATCCTGAGAAAGAAAATCATCTAGTTTTGCCTTTGTATAACAATATCAGAAATATTACTATCTACTTTTGGACATAAGGCAAATGAAATTCAAACCAATTGTTGCCAGTAACTTCCTGGCAACAATTGGTTTGAATTTGGTAATTTTGATAAGCGAAAGCAATACATAGTATAGCAAATACTTGCCTTTACCCCTTTTTTCCAAGGTCTGTGCTGCACATTTCACATTCAATACTGAGTCTCCAACCCCTGAGGTTTCTACCTCTACCTTCTGGGATGACTTTGTGGGAAGCCGCTTGGTCAGGTGCCGTGTGACTCCTGGCATAGCAGTGAGCACTGGTTTCTCTGCCACTTGCATATTGCAAGAGGCTACATCTCCCCAAAGAGGTGTCAAGACGGATTTTTCCCTCTCCTGCTGTTTCTGTATGTGTTTCTCTCTCATGGTCTCACATCTCTTGACTTGAATTTTAGTAATGTCAACTCCTGTGGTCTCGCCTGAAGGCTGTAGATAAATTTAAATGACAGAATTAAAATATGGTACCTCTAATAACCTGTATGACGTTAAGTACCAGACTACATCTAAGTTAAGCAGAGTCTGCCATGACTTAGAAACTGAGAGAAAAGCTCTTCATTTGATGCTAGACAATACTATTAAAGAGGAAAGATTAGAAATGTGTGGAATAATAAAAAACTCAGATTCTACAAACTAGACAACCATGACTCTAAGTCAAATACTAATGATTCCTAAATAATCAAATACTTGCATAAAGATTTAAATACAAAGATATTTTATTTATAATTGTGTAAAATGACATCTAAATGTCCAGAAAAGGACTACATTTATATAATGGAGAATCGTATGGCCAGTAAAAACAAACTTCTTTTTTTTTTGAAATGGATTCTCACTCTGTCGCCCAGGCTGAAGTGCAGTGGCATAACCTTGGCTCACTGCAACCTCCGCCTCCTGGGTTCAAGCCATTTTCCTGCCTCAGCCTCCTGAGTAGCTGGGACTACAAGTGCACACTACCACATCCAGCTAATTTTTGTATTTTTAGTAGAGATGGAGTTTCACTATATTGGTCAGGCTGGTCTTGAACTCCTGACCTTGTGATCCACTGCCCTCAGTCTCCCAAAGTGCTGGAATTACAGGTGTGAGCCACCATGCACAGTCAAAACAAACTTCTTGGAAGAATTATTAACATGGTAAAGTTAAAGCAGGCTGTAAGATGATATACTGTAGAGTTCTCAATTATGTTCTAAACGGGTTTAATGTTAAACAAGTTCACATGCATGCATATATAAACAAAAAAGTTGAAGGTGGCCAGGTGCGGTGGCTCACACATGTAATCCCAGCAGTTTGGGAGGTCAAGGCAGGTGGATCACTTGAGGCCAGACATTTGAGACCACTCTGGACAACATGGCAAAACCCTGTCTCTACTGAAAAAAATACAAAAATTAGCCAGGTGTGTTGGTGCATGCCTGTGAGCCCAGCTATGTAGGAGGCTGAGGCATAAGAATAGTTTGAAGCTAGGAGGCAAAGGTTGCAGTGAACCGGTATTGTGCCACTGTACTCCAGCCTGGGCAAAAGAGAAAGACTGAAAAAGCTCAAAGCAATCCATGAAAAGGATAATAATGGTTACATCTGAGTTGTACATTTTTAGGGTTTGTTCATTTTTTTAAAAATAAAATTTCCAACTTTTGCATGATGGATAGCTTTAGGAAAAACTCAGTTTACAAAATATTAATGGCCAATTAGACTGGGCACAGTGGCTCACACCTGTAATCCCAGCGTTTTGGGAGGCTAAGGCAGGTAGATCACCTGAGGTCGGGAGTTTGAGACCAACCTGACCAACATGGTGAAACCTCGTCTCTACTAAAAACACAAAAAAATTAGCCAAGCATGGTGGTGCGTGCCTGTAATCCCAACTACTCGGGAGGCTGAGAGAGGAGAATCACTTGAACCAGGAGGTGGAGGTTGTGGTGAGCTAAGATTGTGCCACTGCACTCCAGCCTGGGCAACAAGAGCAAATCTCTGTCTCAAAAAAATAAAAAATAAAAAATAATGGCCAATTAAACAAAAAACTTTAAAAGGGCAGTGAATACTGATATACACAGAACTATAGGAAATTATCATAAAAAATTATAGGTAGGCTGAGCACAGTGGCTCACACCTGTAATCCCAGCACTTCGGGAGGCCAAGGTGGGCGGATCACAAGGTCAAGAGATGGAGACAATCCTGGCCAACATGGTGAAACCCCATCTCTACTAGAAATACAAAAACTATCTGGGCGTGGTGGTGCATGCCTATAGTCCCAGCTACCTGGGAGGCTGAGGCAGGAGAATCACTGGAACTGGGGAGGTGGAGGTTGCAGTGAGCCAAGATAGCGCCACTGCACTCCAGCCTGGCGACTGAGTGAGACTTTGTCTCAAAAAAAGAAAAAAGAAATTGTAAGTAAAAAGAAAGACTGTTTACCTAATATATCATTGAAGTATTTAGAAATTTACTGATTTACTGTAAGGTAAAACTACCAACTATCTGGCCTTTGTTTGCCATGAACAAAACCATACAATGATCTTAAACAAATTTACCTCTTTAACTTCTGTTCTAATACTGCTCTGAGAATCAACTTCATTTCCTTCCTGAAATTTCTTCTCTTCTTTTATCCCTGCATTCACATTAAAGACATCATTAGGTTACTTTATTTAAGCTACAACTTCATGATAGAGATGTTAAACAAAACTTTATTTAATGAAAGTAGTTTAAGACAGGACAAATAAAATTATAGATAAAGCCCACTTGTGCTAATTAAGTGTCAAAATATGCATTAAAATAACAAAGATTGGGCCAGTCATGGTGGCTCACATCTGTAATCCCAGCACTTTGGGAGACCAAAGCAAGCAGATCACTAGAGGTCAGGAGCTTAAGACCAGTTTGGCCAACATGGTGAATGAAATCCCATCTCTGCTAAAAATACAAAAATTTGCCAGGTGTGGTGGTGCACGCCTGTAGTACCAGCTACTTGGGAGGCTGAGGCAGGACAATTGCCTGAACCCAGGAGGTAGAGGCTACAGTGAGCCAAGATCACGCCACTGCACTCTAGCCTGGGTGACAAGAGTGAGACTCTACCTCAAAAATAAAATAAAACAAAATAGCAAAGGTCTACATAGTGCTGCTGAAAAGCTTCATTTAATTCAGTGT